TTCCTTCTTCCGCAGATCAACAACAGCAGGGTGGATGCGAAGTCAAACATCACTTATATGCGTTGTGGTGGCTGACTAGTTCAACTAGTTCAGGCTGTGGCAGAATTCACGATGGCCATACGTTTTGATGTGGAAAAATTCAAATTACGCCTTCTTGCAAGGTCGAAATTGCAATCGCCTTTTGGTAGTATCTTATCGTAAGCCAAAAACAAACCCTGTTCCATCTACTTGGAACTGTTTCGGATACCTTAGAAATTGTGTGTTTAGGAGCTTATAAATAGTCGACATGCATAAATGCCTAATTGTAACAGTAATACTCACAGAATGTGGTGTAATGATCGAACATATCTAATAGCTACGAGGTGAGAAAGTGATATCTAAATTTATTAATTCCTGGTGATAATAAGAATTACGAAATAGACATTCCCTAGCACTAATAAAGCTGCTCCTTTTGTTCTACTCACTTTCAGTCGAAACAATACTTACCCAGGTGGTGGACGAGGGCGTGTCGGTGACTATCCTCTGCAATGTTACCCATAGCAACGTGCCACAAGGATCAAAAAACATGCGCTTTCAGTGGCACAACCCCAATGGAACACTAATTAGTAATCAGTGGTTCCTGAGACTCGCCGACATGAGCATCTACGAGTCTGGTGTCTACGTCTGCACTGTATCAGTGGAAGTGAATGGAACACAGCGCGAGGCCAGCCGTGGCACCAATATTCAAGTCAAGCCAGGTAAAACTGACACAGTCATCACTGGCGGTTCGGCTCAAACTCCACATGTGGTGTCTCCAGACTAAGTATCCTCTCACGAAAGTTGATGAGGCCAGAAGGACTGCAATAGTATAAATGCTAATGTCAAGTTGGTGAGGTTTATGTACCACATGTGGGTGGCATTAGTGTTTGCATGACATTGTGAAAGACTTCTGAAGGCAATCAAGCAAATGTGAGCTTATCACATGCGAACAATTCCATGGCTTACTAATAAAGAGAGCAATCCCAAAAAATACTCTGCGTAATGCTGGAAGTGGCACGGTTAGTG